TAATAAGTGTCAGTACCGCTACTAGAATATGAAATATCAGGTATCGTACCGTTTTTGTAAGGACAGGAGGTATATATTGTAAGAGATAAGTCTCAAGGCATTTTTCTAACTTAACACCTGTAGCATCCTTTATCAAGGTCTGCGTGTCTGTCCAAAGAGATTGCAAGGCTGGACATGACCACCACATATGAAGCATGGTGCCAGATCCAGTCCCGCATCTCCAACATAGGCCCGTACACACAGGGTTTATTCGTGTTAATCGTGCAGGTACCAAATACCAGCGATAAAGGAGTTTCCTTGTGAGCTCCAAATGGGATGCATTAAGTGTCAATTTCTTATTTGCCCAGATTATATAGACCCACTGGTCTGACGATAACTCCCTGCCTATCTCTGATTCCCATGCTTTTACAAAAGACAAGGTATGTGGGTCTTGATATGGGAAATGAGAGTTATATAGTATAGATATTAATTTTTGTGGTCTTGGGCTTTGCGTGCATAACGCCTCTATTGGTGATAGGTCTTCCCATCTTGTGCCAGAAGGTAATATGGTTTTGTTCTTATGTAACCACGAGGTAAGTTGTCTGTATGAGAACTCCGCTGAGTTAGGTAAATGGTAAGTATGTTGAAGTGATTGAAAAGGCATCAGCTCCCCCCCGGTCGTATAACTGCCTTAAGTGTGTTATCCCTTTAGCCTTCCAAGCAGCCAAGGTCAGTGAGGGTATTAAGCCGCAGAAAGAAGTTAAAGGTAATATCGGAGAGATCATTTTAAAAGATCCCTGTTTAGATTGGAATCTGTCCCACTCCCGCAGAGAAGTAGCTGTAAGTTGTGTCATGTCCTTATATTTTTTCCTGATTTGTGGGGTTAACCAGGCTAAGTGAGTTAATTGTTGCCCCTCTGTAAATTCTGCCTCTAAAGTCACCCAGGGCGAGACATGGTGAAATTGATGTAATTCATTAAGTGTTGAGGCTATAATTGCTGCCCTATAGTATGTAAGTATATGTGGTAATCCCATTCCCCCATTTCTGTATGCTAGGTACATGGTTTGGGCCGCTATTCTGGGTCTCTTATTATTCCAAACAAAGGCATTAACAATGGCTTGAGCTTCTCGAAAAAATTTATTAGGTAGTTTAGTTTGGAGTGTGTGGAATAAATATTGAAACTGCGGGAGAATCATCATCTTAACAGCTGCTATCTTGACCATCCAGGATAGATATTTCCCTCTCCAAGTCCACAGTTTTTGTTTTATTGTAGTAAGCAAATTAATGTAGTTTTCTCTATATAGTTGGCTTTCTAATTTTGTAAATTTAATTCCTAAAAAAGTAAGATTATTTTGGCGCCATTCGTAGTTATGTGCTTGTTTTAGGCTGTTGTATAATGATAAGGGTGTGTCCAAACATATAACTTGTGTCTTCAAGGTATTTAACTTGTAATAAGAACATTGACTATATCGCTGCAGTAGGGATTGTATTTCTGGAATAGATACAGAGGGGTTAGACAAGGATAGCATAACGTCGTCCGCGAACATAGTCAGTTGATAAACCCTATGTTTGGGTGCCACCCCTTGAATTAATGGGTTGTCTCTGACAGCTTGGGCTAGCAGTTCCAATGCAAGTATGTAAAGAGCTGAGGAGAGTGGACAGCCTTGCCTTGTGCCGTTTGTAATATAGAAGGGTTCGGAGACAAAGCCTCCATTCGTTACTCGTGCTGCTGGTTTAGAATATATTGCCGAGATCAGGGACAAGAAGGCCTTTGGGAAATCAAATTTTTGCAATACTTTCTGTAAGAAGGTCCAATTAAGTCTGTCGAAGGCCTTCTCGGCGTCCAGGGACATAAAGACCCTGGGTCAGCCGGAAGGTCCCCGATTATAAAATAAATTATGCAATTTCCTAGTGCCATCCGCCCCCTGTCGTCCTTTTACAAATCCCACCTGGTCCGGATGTATAAGAGAAGGGAGAAGGGTAGCCACCCTATTTGCATAAATTGTGGCAAAAATTTTAGAGTCCGTATTCAACAACGAAATAGGTCGTAAGTTTTTGGACTGGTTAGGTGGTTTCCTAGGTTTGGCTAAAGTAACAATGTGTGCCAAGAGCATTTCCTCCGGCATCACCCTCTTTTGAATAATATGGTTTAATGTGTCCACCAAGGTGGGCCCTAGTATTTCGACGAATATTTTGTAATACTCATTTGTAAAACCATCCGGACCCGTTGATTTCCCCAAAGGAAGCGTTCGTATGATGCGTCGTAATTCCCCTAATGTGATAGGTTCGTTCAATAGGTCTCTTTGGTCATTAGTTAATTTAAGTGAATTTGCTGTAAAAAATTGTCTATTTCTTTATGAGAAGGTTGGTATGTGGTCGGGTCATCTTTTAATTTATATAACGTTTGGTAGTAAAGTGCAGTTTCTGCATTGATATCTATTGGATTATATATTTTCTCAACCGTCTTAGTGAGTAGATATGGGATTTTAGACTGGGTTAGTTGGTGTTTCATTTCAGATGCTAATTTTTTACCGGCTTTGTTCCCTTGAGTATAGGTTTTCATTTTAAGAATTTGCATCATGCGTGCTGTACGCTGTAGTAAAAGGTTGTTCAGTTGTTTTCTGACAAGGTCAATTTCGGAGGCGACGTTCGTGGTTGGGTGTAGGAACTGTGTCGTTATCAGATCCCTCAATTTGGTTAATAAAGTGAGATGGTGGTGTTGGTGAGTACGCCTAAGGTGGGCCGCCCTGCTAATAAATTGACCCCGTAAAACTGCCTTATGAGCCTGCCAGCTCAGAGCTGGATTAATGTCCGGCCGGACATTGAGCCGAAAATACTGGATTAACTCGGATTGTAATGTATCTTTAAAGGTCTCATCATTTAGGAGATTATTGTTTAGGCGCCATGGGGCCCTCCCTCTATGTTTGTAAGCGTCGTGAGTCATAAGGACGACTGGGGCATGGTCTGACCAGACCATGTCCCCTATTTTGCAACATACGACCGAGGGTAGCAAACCTCTAGATACCAAGATGAGATCAATTCTGGAGTGTGTTCCATGTACTCTAGAATGAAAAGTGTAATTTCTCTCAGTTGGATGTGTCGTCCGCCAAATGTCAAATAAGTCGTTGTCTATTAAAAGTTTAGTAATGGCTTTGCATTGGGATACTAGAGGCTTAAATCTAGGAGCTGTAAAGGAGATAGTTGAGTCTATCTCTGGTTGTAATACATGATTCATGTCTCCACAGATTATAAGGGAGGTCATTCCTGAATGTTGGGTTTTACTCAATAATTTATGTAAAAAATTTCTCTGGTTTGAGTTAGGGCCGTATGCCCCTAGTATTGTATAGATGGTGTTATTGATTTGACAGTGTATGATTAGATATCTACCTTGTACATCCCGTTTAATAGATAGTAATTCAAAAGTGAGACTCTTGTGAAACAGTAATGTCACTCCTCTAGTCTTAGATGAGTATGTCGCATGGTACTATATTGGATAATCTTGGATTCCAAATCCGGGAACTCTCCCATGCACAAAATGCGTTTCTTGCAAACAAGCAATATCTATTTTTTCTTGTTTGAGACTTTCTAAAAGGACTCTGCGTTTGTGTGGGGTGTTCAGCCCCCTTACATTATGTGAATACATTTTCATACTTTGTTATATTAAGTTGTAGAGCGTTACCATACCAGGACCTTAGGTTCAAATGTCTCAGTGAGTGCATGAAGGGGTTAAGAGTTAGAGTAGAGCGATCCAGCTTTTCGTGGTCAGGATTGGATGTGAGGGGTGAAAAAAACTGGGGAAAACTAAAAGAAAGTTTGGTATCTGTATACAGTACCATGGGGGGAGGATATACTCATTTTTCCTTAATGTGGCTTTGGGTCTCGTAAGTATATATTCAGTAAGACGGCTTAACTGCGAAAGTTTTTACAGCGACATATTTGTAAATTATACTCTATTCTATCTATATTACGTTGTCAACCAGAATAGCATAGTAACGTACTGCTCAGCATATAAGGCGGTCCCCTACATTACATATTAAGCGATAGATGAACCGAGCTGCGCGCGCCCTTAAAGCTGTACTATCATGTGATCTCCACCTATGAGCCCACAGGTGAGGTCTGCCAAGGGCGGTTTCGCACGTAATGTTAGCACAAAAAGTTAAAAAAAAAAGTTTAAAAAAAAAAAGAATATACACGATTTGGGTGGATATTATCTATAATGCTAAAACTGGAAAAAAAAAAAGAAAAAATTATACAGGGCACGCGCAGTCCGCCTCTCAAGAGACAAATATATAGAAGCAATTTTCCCAACTAATACATTCCTCAACGTCCGATCCTATAATGAGTAGACTAAAGGTTCACACAAATACAATAAGTTCTAATAGTAAACTGCTACTTTAAATCTGCATAGACCTTCAATATAGGGTATGAGCCTAGTGCTTTTTTTGAGTTTCATTTTTTCCCTTTTTTCCTCTTTTCCTTTTTTTTTTCTTTTTTTTCCCTTCCTTCTTTTCCTTTTCTGTGTGTGAAAATATAACCAAGGTAGTGTAGCTATGAAAATATGGACAACTTAGCCCAGAATAGGTTCTCAACCTCTATATACTCCATTTTGGGTCTTCCGAGGCATATAGTTCCCTACAGTTCTAAAAAGCCCCCAGACAAGGAGAGGATAGAGTTAAATGAGGGAAGTATAGGTACCCCTACGAATTCTTTCAGTGGCTTGTTAGGATTTATTTATTTTGTTACCTTACTGCCTGTGGGAGAGGGAACGTATATGCCTGTAGAGGGCATATGCAGTCTCAGTGCCTAATTATCTATAGGCCATAGCTAGCCCCACTACCTCTTTGTCATTGTATAGAGAACTCATATATAATGTTGCCTAACTTCGGCAGCAATCATTAAAGGTGTAATGTTACACTAGGTCAAAACCTCTTCTTTTTTTTTTTTTTTTTCCTTTCTTCTCTTTTTTTAAAAGTCTTTGGGTCTAGGTCAGAATACTTGCAATTGGTGATCAAGTGAGCAGTTCATGCTGTGTGCCAGTCCAATTGAATTCTCTTCGAGGATGATGCGGCGTGTTCTTCGGTCTGCTCCAGGAATCCCCAGGCTTGTAGTTTTCGAAGGCAGTCTTCTGGTGACATGATCACTTGAGTGGTGTTGTCCTTAGTGACGATAACTTTAGTGGGGAATCCCCATCGAAAACGAAGACCATGGGCTCTCAGGGTAGTTATAACTTGGGCAAATTCTTTTCTTCTATTCAGAGTGGTCGCAGAAAGATCCGCAAAAATTTTAAGCTGCGGATAATTTTCTAATGGAGTCGTTCTGCGTTTAGCCATTTTAAGAAGCAAATCTTTGATATGATAGTAATGCACTCTTAATAGTGTGTCTCTTGGGGCAGTCTCCGGCAAAAACTTCGGCCTAGGCAGGCGATGCACCCTATCTAGAAGCAACATGTCAGAAGGTATGTCCGGTGCTAGTTCTTTAAACATATCCCTGATATACGCTTGGAGGTGATCTGGTGCTACATCTTCTGGGATGCCTCGAATGCGCAAATTATTCCTGCGCGTTCGGTCTTCCAGGTCTGTGATTTTATGTTCCATCATAAGAATTTTATGTTCCACAGCTTCTACATGTGAAGCCAAATCATTATGCGCAGTAGCAAATTCTGATAGTTTATTCTCTACATGGGAGGTACGCTTGCCAAGCTCTTGAATATCTTTTCTGAGTGAGTCAGCTGTGTGTTGCCAAGAAGTGATCAGCTTATTTGATAAGGAGTCCAGGGCTTGCTGGAAATGTGATTTGGTAAGCATGTCAGCATCAGAGCATAAGGGGGTATTTGTGTAGGCTGACTCACCCGAATTGCGCCCGCCATCTTGAGGAGAGGCCTGCTCTTCCGGTTCGGAAAATGACTTGCCGCCGAAGAAATTTAATTTATCTGGCTTTGGTGTGGCTTTTTTGCCCCTCTGGTGTGCCATCTCAGTGATTGGGTGGGAGTCATGCCGTCTTACAGTGCTGGATTGCGCCGGATTGTCGACCCACTTCGCCGGAGCAAAGGACTCACGCGTCCATCTCTCCCGGCGGTTAGCCATGCCCCCCCCCGCAGGCTTTTTAATGTAAACACACACTGTGTGCATCACTGGCACTAGTTCATATGGCAGATCATATGGGTGGGGCATTGCGATGTCCCGGTGGGGGGGGCGGCGGCAAATCTTTCTTTTGCCTAGGGCGGCAAAAATCCTTGCATCGGCCCTGCCTATATGCAAGTCCCCGCGGCAAGGGGTTTTCGATGGCATATTCCGGGAGCATTCCCCACTGGACCTGAGAGGGTACTATGACAAAGTACACACTGTAATGACATTGGTACTCATGTCCAGGACACTCCAAAACAAAATAGGATAATCCCTCCCATGTGCCTGAATGATAATTGAGTCAGGAACTGTACTAAGCTCAATTATCTCCAGGCACAGAAAACATAAATTTTACAATATCCCGAAAGTACCCCCCCCAAAAACACATGAAAACCCACAAAAGTCACATCCCCTGAAAGCCCCGATCTGGGGGACCAACATATCCAAAAATCACCCAGATCGGTTCAGGGTCTGGTATTTCCATGCAAGTCATAGTTTTGACTGACCTGCACATGGTCCTATGCCCAAAACAGTTCCAGGGAATTAGGGCTAACAATCGGTCTCTATTTCTGGAGTACAAATGTACATAAATCACATAAGTTTTTAAAGGGCCCATAGTCTTTTGGCAAGAGGCTGGCCAGCAGGCCCCTCCAAGAGCCCATGGCGAAGTTACTTTTGCCACACTTAAAGGACCACTCTAGGCACCCAGACCACTTCAGCTTAATGAAGTGGTCTGGGTGCCTGGTCCATCTAGGGTTAACCCATTTTTTTAATAAACATTTCAGAGAAACTGCTATGTTTGTAAATGGGTTAATCCTTCCTCCAATTCCTCTAGTCGCTGTCTCATTGACAGCCGCTAGAGGCGCTTGCGTGATTCTCACTGTGAAAATCACAGTGAGAGCATGCAAGCGTCCATAGGAAAGCATTGTAAATGCTTTCCTATGAGACCGGCTGAATGCGCGCGCAGCTGCGTGCGCATTCAGCCGAAAGGGAGGAGAGGAGGAGGAGAGCTCCCCGCCCGGCGCTGGAAAAAGGTAAGTTTTAACCCCTTTCCTATCCCCAGAGCCGGGCGGGAGGGGGTCCCTGAGGGTGGGGGCACCCTCAGGACACTATAGTGCCAGGAAAATGAGTATGTTTTCCTGGCACTATAGTGGTCCTTTAACACAACAGTTCCCAGTCCAGCTCAGTGTGCATCACTTTGACCTCAGCAATGAACTGCACTATGCCCACATGGAGACTGAGCAACAGAATAAGACTGACTTCAATGGTGTAAGCAGACTGGGTGCATTTGTGCTAAGCAAATTCTTGGACCGCTTATTGGGTATGTTAGACTTCCTTATATTACAACATTAACAAACATATATGAATAAAAAAGATTGCAGGGTCAGTTTACTAGCCCAAAGCTTTTAGAAAACACTACAAAAAGCTGTGGTGGTTATGAAGCTTGGTTTATCCTTTTAAATGTGAGTTATGAAGTCCTCAGAAGTAACTATGCTTTACTAGAGGTATAGATTATATATATGTATACTGAACTGTAAGCAGTAGATAATACAACAGTATTACACACAATATACATCACAAAAAAAATGAGTTGTGGATCTGATCATAACATAACCCCAGCTATATAATTTATTCATATAAATAAATCCGACATTTCAAATATTATTACTTTTTCCTGGAACATACTGTAACTGTAAGGACTAGAGGAAAAGAATTTGCACTAGAACTATAAAGGTTCTGCGCAAAGGTGCCAGAACGACAGATTACGACTGTCTAAGGACTGGACCCTGCTAACATAAAAACAAAAAAACCCAAAATAATACACTAAACCTAAGATGAATCCTCTGAAAGTCTATCCTAATAATACTGGTCTCTGTGTGATGTCAATGTAAAATTAGCTATCTGTACAGTGTGCCTAAGAGTGAACAAAAATACTCTGTCTCAGGTAAAATAAATTGTAATAGCAATGTATGTACAATTTTTACATTGTACAAATATTGCTATTTTGACTTCTTTTACCTGAGGCAGAGTATTTCCGTTCACTCTTAGGCACACTGTACAGACAGATAATTTTGTATATACCTCCAAGTATTACCAAATGGGACTTTCATAGGATTCAACTTAGGGTCAGTCTGTTATTTTGAGTTTTTGTTTAAGTGTGAGGACTAACTGTTTGTCATAATCATATTGGATAATATTGGATTTTTTTTCTTGGTATAATATGCTTTTTATTTCATGGTCCATTTTCAGTCATTCCACCTGGAATCCATATCATGAATGTGCTACATTTAAAGGTACAAAATATATTTTTCCTATTTTAACTTTAATTTAGATTTTATGTTAATTAACATAGGAGAAAAAAAAACTTGACTCACTGGTCTGTACAAAAGTTTAGAGAGTTATAACTTAAGGAACGGCAGTAAACTACCGTCCATCTAGATAAAGGATTTCTAGAGTCAAAATTCCATAGAAAATCAATGGAATGTTGCCAAATGTTCACTTAATTCTGAACCAAATTACAATGACCTCAAAGTAAGAAATACCTTCTTATTTAGCATATTACATTGGAATTCAGATACACTTATTTTCTTTTTTTGGCCTAGAAGATGGAAGTACAAAATCCTTTTTTATGATTAAGATAATAGAAGTGATTAACAGTTACAATATTTTATAGCACTAATTGCAGAATTAAGGGTGAAAATGGACATTAATAATGTGTTGTAGTGGTCATTTTAGTTGCATACCTCCCGGTATTACAAATTTCACATAGTGTATGTTGGCTAATCTTGTCACAAAGTACGGTCAGAAGAAAAGGATGGACTTTTGCCAGAAATCCACTTATTATAACCGTGAATCACCGAGACCTCAACTGTAGGGCTCTGCATATCACAGTTTTGCAACTATATCAATGCTTTATTTCTGACATTACAGGGCATTTTACTCTCCACAAAACTTTTGCGTTTATAATAATATAGTCTGAAAGGTAATCACTCAATAACATGCAATAAATAAGGTGATCTAAGCTTATATTTGTGCCTCAAGTAGTTGAACTTTGTATGGTCTTTGAAATCAGCCCTTGTGGAACCTCTAGCTTTAGAACATTTATGATTTTATAGCCCAGTTTTAAAAACTATAAACAAGAAAACTTTAAATAGATGGTGCATGCCGCGTTTCAGTGTGTCACGGCCCACACCAATACCTGGCTTCCCAGCCCTGCAGCCCCATAGTGAGAGCAGATCTGTATCATAGAAAAACTGAAGACGGAGGAAGATCCTGCCATATTATAATCTCGGACCATGTTGTGCTCACTCCCAATTAGAACCCCATCTGGATCCAGGTCATTAGCCCAGAGTGACATGAAGCAGGGGCTGTAGACTTCTGAATGCTGTGGCAAGGAGGAAGAGGTCCCTATATTGGTGGGAGCTGAAGCAGACGATCAGGGAGCAGAGGTAATACTGCTTTGATATCCCAGCATACCCTCGCACCACCTGCTGTATTGTGGGAGCTCCCAGCATGCACTATGGAGCCTTTAACTTCAAAGAGTACCGTAGCTCAGGGGAGGCATGAGAATCCGAAGTGTGTTGTTCTCATCAGAAGTCACCTCTAAAATATTAAAGTTGTTCTATTTGACGTTGAAAATATTTATTTCTTAATTTTTGGCTAAAAAAATAGGGGTCATCTTATACATGGTGGCTTCTTATACACGGAAAAATACGGTACTTTCTTTTAATTCTTTTTTGAATTCTCTATTTGTATTACATGTGAGAATCTCATAGGACTCATAATACAATTGTTCAAACCATAAAAAATAGTTTTTCATATTTACCTTTAAACATCAGTGAGTCTCGCAAAACCTTTATCAGTGAACTTGGTCCCTAAAATGTGTAAAACATTTTTAAAATGTAAGCAAAAATTAAGAAAAGAAAGACAAAAAGAAAAAGAAGGAGGAGAAAATAGATAAATAAATACAATAAATGAAAGAGAGTGAAGAGAAAATAAAAATTGTGGATCTGCTTTCCAGATCTCATAGACCCTCTCAAGATGGATTAGAGCTATATTCCATCCACGGTTCCCAATATTACCCCTGTCCTTTCCTTTAATCCAGTGACTCTTCACTGTAACTCGATTCTCCCTGGCTGAGGTTATTGATAACTTTTGTCCATTCAAATGTTTGTAGACACCAAACCAATGCTTCTTATAGAGAAGCATTACGCGCACACACACACGCACACAGTGTGCAGTGTCCACGTACTTTGTTTACCAACAATGGACCGAATTAATTGACAGGTACTAGGAGCGTGGGAATTGCAAAACAAAAACAGTGTATTGTATAACTGTATACAAATGCATGGCTGGAGGGGTTGCATTATGTCCTCCACAATCACTTAACTGAGATGAAGTGATTTTGTTGCTTGCAGTCGACTGTCCTTTTAACAAAACCATCTACATAGATTCTGATGCACAGAGGCATATTTAAGGCTAACTTTCATACTCTAATAAACACAAATTGCCATCGTTCCTCACACCACGCTATTTGTTTTAAACAGAATCTTGTTTAACACAAGAGAAACCCACCTCTACATTATGGATTTGCATCTAGACTTTAATTCACACCTATCCCCTTAAGGATCTAGCTAAAAACTAACCAAGTCGTCTTTAATCTGATCACAGCGGACAGCTGGCAACTGGTAAGTTGTATGTTTTTCCTTGCCGATGTTGAGAAATATTATACGTCTATTGCATTTTGTGCTACATATAGTTATTCCTGAAGGTATTAAGTTAGAACAGATGAACGAGTCATCTGGATGTTGGAACGCAGCTATTTTCCTGGATGCTGTACGATAAATTCCAACAAGCATTGATTTTTACACAAAGCCTAAAGATCGGAAATCCAAGTCAGAATATTTATCACATTCTTCCTTTTACCATCGCCTTGCACAGACTTGATTGAGTGCACGCAC